TGACAGAGAGCTCAGACAAAATGTGGTCCACTGGAGAAGGAAATGGCAACTCACTCCAGTATCCTTGCCAAGAAAACCCCACATGACAATGAGCATGAAACTGAGCAAACTCAGGGAGGCAGTGAAGGACAGGAAGGCCTGGTGCGATATGGTTCATGGGGTCACGAAGAGTCGGACACGACTTAACAACTGAAGAACAACAACACAACTCTTAAAGAGGTAGAGATAAGGATGCCCAAGCCGCCCTTCAGCCGCCCTGGTCCTCTGCCCGGAATTGCTTCAATTTTATATGAATGGTATCCATTAAGCAGAAGGTCATCATTGGCTGTCCATATTTCTTGCAACAGTATTACGTCCTTACCATGCAAGGGGTCAGAATGATTAAGGCCTCTATTGCGATCCCAGCCAGCTATGTTCCATGTTAGAATTTTTAGGGCATTTGCCTGATCCTGGTCCGCACGATGTCATACCTTCTGCGTTATAGGCTCTGGTCTGACGGTGCCCTCTTGATGGTTCTGCTGGATCCCACCAATACACTTATCTTCTGGAGATTCAGGCATGAGATTTTCAGGGGGCCGCGCGTGAACCTGCGCAACTACAAGAATTTTTGGTTTGGGGGCTTCTGATGGTTTCAGAGGACTCTTGGGGCATGAGTTGAGCAGCCTTCCATATCAGGTGCTACCTTAGAATTTTGTAGATCTTGATTTGTCGTGGCAGCTATGAGAGTGCAGGCAGAATGCACCTTTTCAGGAGCACACTCACATTGTTGCTCGAAATGGGGATTATCATCCTGGGTATTTTGCAAGGCAAAATTTATTAATGGCTTGGCTGTTTGACGAGTTGTCATTAAGGATTCTCTTGGATCGTCTAGTCTCTTAAGTCTGTCAGCCTGTCTTGTATCCGGCAAGGCACTGAAGGAGTTAATCAGCCTTTCTTCTAGTGCATCATTAGGCAGCTGTGTTGTTATGGGTTGAACAAGTTGTTTGCTTAGAAGTTTCCCTAGCAGAGGCTCTGTTGATGAAATTATCTTGAAATTATCTGAGAGAGTTTTGCTGTGCTGAGTTACGAGTGAACTAACTTCCTTGGAATGAAAAACACGAATTGGAAAGATGGAAACAGTGCTCAAAAAAGGTCATTTTGAAGAGCACGTGAGGTACCACAGGCTTTCTGAATGTCAACAGGACTCGACTGTAACTGCCTCTGGATGGGAGCCATTCTGCTTTTTGTAAGTCCAAAAATTGACTCTCACAGCGTAATAGCGGGCTTAAGTACTGAATGATGGCTTTTTTAGATCCACATCTGCCTCTGTTTATTCTGTTATTTAAAATTTGCAGTGTTATCTGATTTGTAGGAGACGATTTCCTGTTAAAAGCTTTTCATCTAAAAGCTTTTCATCATTGTTCATTCCTTTGTCTGTAGAACTGCTCATCTTTTTCTTTTCTTCTCTAACGTTTCCTGTTAAAGGTTTAAGTTTAGAAGTGAGGTCTCCCTTTTCTCTGCTGGCTGTTTGTAGGGCACAATTGAGGTACAACTCATTGAATTTAGCAGGGTGAGCAGTATGATTTGGCTGGCTCTCAGTACATTTTTTAAAAGATCCTTTTAAGGAGTCAACCGTGTTTTTAATCGAGGTCAGCAGGTCAGAAATTGAAAGGACGGTCTGTGCAGTCGATAGGCTATGCCTGGTTATAAAATCTAGTGCATTTTGTTCTTTCAGGGGTTTGAGATGAGAATCCATGTCTTCCTCCTGTATATGTTGTTCAGCGGCTGTGCTGGCAGGAACTGCCTGTGGGGAGGGGGCATCCTCTATCAGAGATGAGGAAAGCTCTGAAGGTTGCTGGCTTTCGATCTCTGCCTGTAAATCCCACTCTAGAGGGTCACGTCCATCCGGTAGATGAAGCGGAGGAGCATTACTTACAGGGGAGACTTGCTTTCTTGTAACAAATCTGTCAACCTTCTGCTATTTCAGCGGCTTGGATGGTGGGTGTGTTGCAGAAGGGGTCCTCTGGAGCTTCTTCCTTTTCCCCATGTCCAACAGATGCGAGGGCTTTATGGCGTCCAGATTTAAAATACCTCTTGCAGAGAGTGCGTTTATTAAATAAAACTAGATAAAAACTAAGATGCGTAGCTAGGCTGCTTATAAAAATAGATAAAACAAGTAAAATATCCCGAGGAGCTCAGCAAGGAAGCTGCTGTCCCATGGCCATCTTAGCTCCTCCCTACAGGGTTAGGTTCTCGCCAGCCTCTGGTCGCGACATTTTTGTCTGCCGACCAGTGCATATCCTTGCTTGATGTGCATTTCTGCTTAAAGGCATTTAACATTAAATTTTAAACATTTAAAGTTTTATACTGTAAAAATATTAATTGAAATCTTGCCTTTGATGAGGCAGCACTGTACAGTAACTCATGTGGCGTCCTTGGGGTCCTCTGAGCTTGGCTGTTTTCTTGCAAACGTTTCATTACCCGGCTAGGTAACATCTTCAGTGTACAGTGATACCTCAGTTCACGAACTTAATTCGTTCCGCGACTCTGGTCGCGACCCGAATTGGTCACGACCCGAATCAAATTTTCCCATAA